TATTTTATCTATCTATCTATCTATCTATCTATCTATCTATCTATCTATCTATCTATCTATCTATCTATCTATCATGTTGGAGTCTCACTATGTCGCCCAGGCTGGAGTGCAGTGGCACTCTCACGACCACCCCAGCGTCGACCTGATGGGCTTCGGGATCCTTCCGCTTCAGCCTTTCAAGTGGCCGGAACTACAGGCGCGCGCTACCACGCCCGGCTAGGTTTTTCGATTTATTGTAGAGACGAGGTCTCGCCAAATTGCCCGGGCTGGTCTCGAACCAGCGGGCTCAGGCAATCCACTCGCCTCGGCTGGGATTACAGGCTGAGCCTCGGAGCCCAGTCTCTGGAACTTATTTTTATAGAGGTCTCTTACACTCCCCCACAAATAACCTTCAGTCAATTCATCAATTTTCATTACAAGATTGATTCTTCTTGAACATCCATAGCACTATTTTTAAGTACTTGCTTATATTTAATTTTACGTTTTATGTCGCAGTAGTGCTTTTTTAGTTCTTGACTAGTTTCTCTAAAGAGATTGCCGCTCCCTAAAGTCCCATCCAGCACAGTGTTGGGTAACACAGTAAGTAGCACACACTTTTAAAATGGACACTCACAAAATGCCAGATGATAACACTTACAGCCAAGAAACGTACCTTCCCAAACTTTGATGTGCATAAGAATCACAGAGAGGGAAATCTTTTTAAAAATGCTTATTCAGATTCGCTAAGTCTAGACGGAGCCCGATAATTTGCATTTGTAACAAGCGATGACCCAGAGATGACTAAGTCGCTGGTCTGTGTACCCACTTTGAGCAGCAAAGACGCAAAGAAATATGCAAAAGGAAGGCAGATGCTTTGCTCCAAAACATATTTTGCAAAATATTAATTAAACAGAGTACGGTTAGGATGAAGCCAGGTCGAGCACTTCTTCCCCAGCCCCAGACATCCCCTTTCCCGTTCCATCTCCCCTCTTGGTCCAGCCAAAGTCTCCACCTTCTTAAGCCATAAAAACACAAGCAGCAACAAGTCCAGCTACGTAAGACGCGAGCCCAGGTAATAAAAAAAAATCGTCCCTGCACTTACTAGTCTAAGAGCCTGGGGTTAGATGGAGTCCGGGCAGTGGCTTCTCCCACACCGAAAAGAAAAATTCAAAATTAAATCCTTGTCATAGACGGACCAATCAAAGACACGGTCTCTCGACGATTCTCTCTCCGTGTAGTGCAGGAGGATAACCTGACTTGTGGTTGGCTGAGGTGGCACAATACTCTGGCCAATTAGAGCTGAGGCGCTTCTGGTATGAATTAGGGGAAGGCGGGAGAGAAGGGGAGGGGATGCAGGAGAGGAAAGGAGGTGTGTTACGTCCCCTAGGCAGTCGGTGGAAGCTTTTGTATCATTGGTCGACTCTTCTTCCGATTGCACCAATCGCAAGCTCTTCCCTGCCGAGCCCTAACTATGAAATTGAAATTGGACAAGAGGGGAACAGCCAATGGGAGAAAAAAAAAAGCATAGCAGCCAATCCTCCTGCGGCGTTTTGTGTCTTTGCCCAACAGAAAAATGTGTTTCATGCGAAGGGGCGTTACCCCAGGCGCCAGTGGTGGAACAGAGGAGCCAATGAGTGCGAGACGTTGAGTGACAGCTGTCCAATAGAGACCCTCAGTGCTAGTACGGCTTGCGGCTTAAGCGCCGCCGCGGTCTGAGGCATGTCAACTATTCAACATGGAGGCGGAGGTCGATAAGCTGGAACTGATGGTGAGTGCAAAGTGAAGGAGATCTATTGGGTAGTTTATTTTTCCCCAAGGCCTCGAAGGTGGAGCTCAATTTGGAGTCGCCGGAAACTCTGGGCGGCGGAGGCTGGACCAGAGTCGAGTTCCCTCCTCCTGCAACCAAAGGGAGCCGCCACCGCCTGGTGTCTAAACCGCCGCGGGGAAGGGGTTACATCCGGGAAACTCGTGAGGGAAATGGCGGGAGAAGCTGAGGGTTCGGGGGCCTTTGGAATTCCTTGTTCCTCGCCCTCCTCTTTCCAACTCTCAAGGACCTGCTTCTGGTGCAGACAGCGTTCTGTGTGTCCTCACCCAAAAAAGATGTGACGGGAACGGTCCCTGAACGGGAGAGGTCGTGCGCACTCCTAGAAAGGGGGGTGGAGGGTGGAGTGGGGAAGGCCGAGGGGGGCGGGGAGAAACCCTTTTAGGGATGAGCCGTTTACGTTCTCAAAGGCGGGTTGAGAAAGTCTGAGAAAGGCTGCTAGAGTTGGGCGCCCAACTTCCTAACGGCCAGCGAAGCCCCTAGACCCGTTTCTGTTAGGTCTGGAGGTGGCAAACCTTGGGTGAGGGAGAGGTGTGAGCGAATGGGATTTGAACCTGGAGCGCGAGAGGCAGTGGGAGGGGGAAGGCACCCCGCTCTCGAGTTGCTTAGTTCATTCATCTGTGAAAGCAGGGAGCGGGGGCGAAGAATTGGAAAGGACTCCTGCTATTGCGGGCGCGTCTGGCCTACTCGAGGGCACCAAGCTGGGTGCTGTCCCTCTAGTTTTCTTTAAGGATCTTTCCCTCACTTTTCCTCTTTATTCCCTCCCTCCCATCCTTAGATTGCTGTACTAATTTGATCGCCCGCGCTTTTTTTTTTTTTTTTTTAGTTGGAGTCTCACTCTGTCGTTCAGACTGGAGTGCAGTGGCCGCTCCCGGCCACCGCAGCCTCGACCTGCTGGGCTCCGGCGATCCTTCCGCCTCAGCCTTCCGAGTAGCTGGAACTACAGGCGCGCGCTACCATGCCCGGCTCATTTTTTGATTTATTGTAGAGATGAGGTCTCGCTGCCCAGGCGGGTCTCGAACCCGCGGGCTCAGGCAATCCACTCACCTCAGCCTCCCAAAGGCGCGGGATTACAGGCTGAGCCACCGAGCCCGACTCGCCCGCGCTTTTTACCTAGTTCGCTTGCTTTATCTTCAGTTCTTTTTCTCCTGTATTATTATTTTTTTTAGATTGGGCTGGCTTCCTTAAAAACCTGGAATTTGGAGGAAGCGCCCGTCGTTGAGCTTCAGTCTTTTTTTTTTTTTTTTTTGCTTTCCTTGTTTGTCAAAGAAAATAAGATTTAAAAAATGTAAAAAACTTCTTCTCAATCCGCCACCCCTCCCTCCTCCCTTTGCCATTCCTCAGCATTACTCCTTAGGTATCCTCTGGTGCCTGTGCTGCTCTCCAAGCTGAATCTTGAGTCTCTCACTTCTGCTTTGGAAAGGACGTTTGGTGAACCTGGAAGAACTGTGTACCACCCTCACCCCCATTCCTACCCTAGGATAAAGTGTGAGGCTTTGCTATTATTTTGTTCTGATGTGTTAATGAATTGGAGTGCCTCTCATATACTAATTTAATATGAAGACTTCCGGTTGCTTTTAACATTTTGTATTTAAATTTTCTTTGTGGAGGTGGTATGGAATGGAGGGGGATGAGGAGAAATAGTAGGGAAGAAGGAAGAATTTTCTGCAGAGATTCAAACCTAATAATGAACTTTAGTTCAGAGTTTTATTATTTTTATCATTAACTGTCTTTAAAAGCAAACAAAATATTAAGTATTGTAGTTTGCTTCTGTTAACAGCATGTTGACTATCTTGCCCCTCCCCCGTTCTGAATTCCTCCCTCCAGATATAGATACTTAAAAAAAATTTTTTTTTGTGCCAGAGTCTCACTCTGTCACCCGGGCTGGGCAAGCTCACCTCAGGCCACCACAGCCACAACTTCCTGGGCTCAGGCGATCCTTTAGCTTAAGCCTCCCAAATAGCTGGGATTACAGGCGAAAGCCACCACTTCCGGCTAATTCTTTTATTTATTGTGGAAACAAGGTCTTGCCAAGTTGTCTAGGCTGATCTTGAATTCCTGGACTCAGGCAATTGTCTCACCTCGGTCTCCCAAAGTGTTGGGATTACAGGCATGAGCCACTGCACCTGGCTCTTAATTCTGATTTTAGCAGATTTTTTTCTCAAATTGTCAGTTTAATTTTTAAGCTTTTTTTGGCCTTTGCAATAGAGTCAGTATTCTCACAGAACTTCTTTAGATTGAACAAATTCTATTTTAAGGTAAACATGATTAAGTAAGCATTTTGAAAAAAGTATGTTTTAGAAAATTATGGTGTAAGATTTTTGATGGTGTTTGAATGATGGGATAATTTTAAAATTCTTTTTGAAGAGAAGAAGAAAAGAAAGGAAGTTTTTTTTCCCCTTAAATTCCTTGCTAGTAAATTAGTGGTAGCTTTTTTTCTTTCAGATTGTTTCTATAATTATTGGGACTTAAAAATTTATATGCACTTTTATCATGGTTTTTATTATTAGTGCTTTGTATTTACTAGATAGTAAAAGTGCATCTCAGTTTCAGATTTGCTTTTTCAGTGTGCTTTTAAAAAAAAGTATCTGTGAGCCGTACTCAACCTATAATCTCATGGTTTAGCCTATAATCCCAGCATGTTGGGAGACCGAGGTGAGTGGATTGCCTGAGCCCACGGGTTGAAGACCAGCCCTAGCAACTTGGCAAGACCTCGTCTCTACAATAAATCAAAAGTTAGCCAGGCATGGTAGCGCATGCCTGTAGTTCTGATTACTTGGAAGGCTGAGGCGGAAGAATCACTGGAGCCCAGCAGGTCGACACCGGGGTGGCCTTGAGTGTGCTACTGCACTCCAGCCTGGGGACAGAGTGAGACTCCAACTCAAAAAAAAAAAATATCTGTGAACTAGTTTAGTTTCTAAAATTTAAAGGTAAATGCACCAGGTGCAGTGATTCACGCCTGTAATCCTAGCACTTTGAGAGGCGGAGGTGAGAGGATTGCCTGAGCCCAAGGGTTTGGAGACCAGCCTGGGCAACTTGGTGTCTCTACAATTAAAAAAAAAAAAGGGTAAATGTTTGTGCAATCTTCTGATTTTTAGTTTTACACTAGTTAAATAAAGAATTTGCCAAAGAACCAGTTTTGATTATCTAATAGGTGGAAAGAGAAAGAGAATATATACTATTTAACTTTGAAAAAAGTGTGTATCCTAATTGTGTAGATAGCCTGATCGTCTTAATTTAAATTTTTTTCATAGTTTTCTTGTTTGTATTAACTTCCAGTTCAGAAAGTTAAACACTTGTATATTTTTTTTTGAGTCGGAGTCTCAGTCTGTCACCCAGGCTGGAGTGCAGTGGCACACTCATGGCCACCACAGCCTTGATATGCTGGGCTCAGGTGATCTTCTGCCTCAGCCTTCCAAGTTGCTGGAACTACAGGCACGTGCCACCACGCCCGGCTAATTGTTTGATTTAATGTAGAGATGAGGTCTCTTCAACTTGCCCAGTCTGGTCTCAAACCTATGGGCTCAGGCAATCCTCTCACCTCGGTCTCCCAAAGTGCTGGCATTATTGGCATAAGCCACCGCGCCCAGCCCCAAACCCTGTCTTTCAAACACTTGTCTTTGAAACTTGATACTTTGCTAGCAGAGTTAAATATTCTAACAGTTGAGTTTTGAGGCCCAGGATTTGAGACCAAAACAATCATGTTCCAGCTGTCTTCATTATGAGTCCATTTCTCAGTAGGCTCCATTCAACTAAGTAGCTGACCTGGATCATTTATAAAGGGAGGTTGATGAAAATGTATTTTTGCATCAATCAACATTAGTAATAAGGACTAAATAAGAACTAGTATGAATGGCCACACAAGGGTTTTACTGTCTCCTACTAGATATTTGTCTAGTGTTTTCCTTTTGTGGAACTCTAGTGATTATACACAAAAGGTAATCCAGTGTGATCTATGATAATGTTTCTATTTCTGGGTTAATATCTGACTTTTGAATGGAGTCTTAAATGTTAATTAGCTTGGAACTAAGGAAACTTGTTACTGAAATCTCGTCCCCACTTCCCCCCTTTATTATTTTCTTTTTAGTATTTCTAAGTTTCAGGGATCTGGAGATGCTTTCCTCCTATACTTAAGATATTTTAGGAGTTAACTGAAATTAAAAAATCCCTTTCTATAGTATTTAGTTAATGTCCTGTTGAGAGCATATTGATTCCCTGGTGTTTCTTCCTTTGTTATAATATCCCTCAATAGGTCAGATGCAATGGCTCAAGCCTGTAATCCCAGCACTTTGGGAAGCTGAGGTTTCCCAAGGGATTGCGTGAGCCTGCGGGTTCAAGACCTGCCCTGGTGACTTGATGAGACCTCTCTCTACAATAAATCAAAAAATTAACCGGTGTGCCAGTGCACGACTGTAGTTCCAGCTGCTTGGAAGACTGAAGTGAAAGGATTGCCTGAGCCTAGCAGGTGGGCGCTGGGGTGACTGCGTGTGTCACTGCACTCCAGCCTGGGCAACAGAGTGAGACTCAAACTCAAACTCAAAAAAAATCCCTCAATAAACTCTTGAGTTATAAAGCTGGTAAGTGCTTTTGGGCTTTTCTGTATTGTAGTTTAGATTCTAAGTGATAGATTATGTAGAGAACCTTGTTTTCTTTTTCATTTGTTTTCTTTGATATTTTTATTCAAGGGCTTGTTTTATGTGGCAGTTACTCATCAGGTAATTGCCTCGGAGAAGGAGCTAACATCCCTGCAGAGAACAGAAATGTTTTTCAACTGTGCTTTAGTAGTATTTATAACAGGTTTTGTTAGTACCAATACTAAGGTATTAACAGTACCCATGTAAAGGTTTAAGGTTTAAGACATAGTTACACAATTCCTTTCATCATGTATGCATATTTGTGTTTGAATGTTAATTGCATATTAATCATCAAAAAAGCAGTATCTCTTT